ACACACACACACACACACACACACACACACACACACACACACACACACAGAGACTTATTTTATGAAAGCTAGAAAATGGTTTTCAAGGAGAAATGTATGATCTATAGTTGTAATGTTTAGATATTTGGCAATTGGAAAAAATAATTTTTTGGCAAAATAGGAAAACAGATTGACATAAATGTACATTAGTGTAGTGACTTCCATTTCTTGTACATACACAGTGAAATAGTTCTGGGCAGTAAATTCTTGGAAAGGTAGGGTAGGATTGGATAAATGTCATAGTTTATGACTGAATACATATAAACAGGTGAAAACTCAAGATGAAGAGGTAATAATAACCCTCTGATAAAGAGACTTAAAAACCTTTTCACCCTACAATAAAGATTGCTTTAGAGTTATAACTTGATATTATAGTTTGATTTTTAAAAAAGATATTGGTTACATTTGTGGCTACCGTGGATACATAAAATAAAGAATGGAAAGCCTTCTGGTTCCCCAATATGGAAAAGTATTTATCATTTAAAACCTTAACTGTAAAAAAAAAAAAAAAAAGATGCTATAGATTCTGGAACTAATACCAAGATTATTGAAAAAGGTGACACAGCCACTATTTCTGCCAAGGTGTCTTAGAAATAAAGAATCGTTGACAATGGAGAATTATATAACTATTTCAAGTCAGCTACCAAAATAAGTTTAATTCTACAATGTTAGTAACATCATAACCTTCAGACCTTTTTTAATCCCCTAAATCCAGTTTATGCCATCTGTAGCACTTCTAGATTTCAGGTTTTTCATACCTTTCATTTTTGCTTATCTAAGCCTCATCCTTCCTCCTCGCAAGAATCCTTCTGTAAAATTACTGCAGCCCACTTTGATTTTCCTTTCCTCTCAATTCTTGTAGCACCTATACTACTGTTAGGTAGTTAAGACCTCTACTACTGTTTAGACCCTTCTCTGCTGTTCATGAGGCCAGAATAATTTTTTTTTCTTTGTACACATTAGTTAGCAAGCGCTGGGTGATTAGTAAGCATTACAGAAAAGAGTTTAAAAGGAATTCAGAAGAACAAGCAATTAATAGTGTGATAATGGATGTTTGGAGGAAGTGGATCATAAATGGGGACCTAAACCGAAGAACGATTTCATCCTGGGGAAGATAAGAAAGGGCATTCCAGCCTAGGATCACAGAATGTGATTAATCTAAGTGACTGGGATACGGGTGTCATTTCATATTGGAAGAATGAACTAATGAACAAATGAATGAATTCAGAGTGGCTTGGCCAAAGTTATTGGACTATTCCTTTTACATCATTCATTCATTACAGATTTTTGAGTTCTAGACCACAAAGATGAAGAAATATTTATTTTTAGGAATTCAGATTTTAATGGGGCAGACAGAAATGTAAAAAATTATTAAAATAATTCATAATCTTATCGGAGACGATAGTCTCCAATGAGAGGTATGCACAAGGTATGTAAGGAACAGAGGAGAGGATAGAAGGTTATCCTATAGGATAGGCCGAATTCTCAAGGGCCTTAAATGTTAATACTCAATTGTTTGAACATTATTTTGCTTATTTTTTGTAAAGATTTTATTTATTTATTTGACAGAGAGAGATCACAAGTAGGCAGAGAGGCAGGCAGAGAGAGAGGGGGAAGCAGGCTCCCTGCTGAGCAGAGAGCCCAGTGCAGGACTCAATCCCAGGACCCTGAGATCATGACCTGAGTTGAAGGCAGAGGCTTAACCCACTGAGCCACCCAGGTGCCCCAACATTATTTTGCTTATTCTTAAGACAAGTCACTATGTCAGAGCAACTTTGTGAAGGTTTAAGAAAGCACTTACCCCTCCTAGGATTTCCTTGTGGGTTTTACTACCAGTACTTCTGAGAGTTTCCCTGGCCTAGCCCCATAATTATACCTCAGGTTCAGCAGACAGCACAAGTCAGGATATAACCGGAAGAGTCAGTCATCACTAAACTGTTTGGAAATACCATCTCAGAAGGTAGTAAACCTTTAATATTAAATTTTCACAAATACCTAATTGAGATGCCTTAATCAGTGTGGAGACCTGAAATATCTACAAAACTTTAAGAATAGTGTTCATTTTGGAAATGATAATTGAGTGTATTTAAATTCCGAAAAGAAAGAGCAAGGAAAATAATGCTGGTTTGAATTTTACAAGTTTTAAAAGGCATTCTCAAAGAACTAAACATAAGTATTTTTGTCTCAAATTAATATTTATTTTCAGTCATTCGATTCTTCAAAAATCACAAGGAAGAAAAGTATTACAACTTATTCTCCAACAACTGGAACTTGCCAAATGAGCCCATTTGCTTCTCCTGCAAGCTCTAAAGAACAGGAGCACAAAAATGAACCATCAAATGGTTAGTTGAACATTCTTTTCCATTTATTGTAATATTTTTCTAGTTACTGGTTAAACCAGAATTTTTATTTAATAATATATGGATCTTGCTGCAACTGTTTTTTTCTTAAGGAATTCAACATAAAGAAGTCTAGAATATATAGGTACGACTTTGGACATAAATGTAAACTTTCTAGGCACTTATTTTAAAATGCTACTGCAGACTTTGTTCCCTTACTATCCCATCCATTAAATAGAAATTATGGTCTGACTGCCTTCAGCTACTATCAATTATAGTGGTTACAGATATACCCCTTAACAAGCTATCCATCATGTGCATAAATTAAAGGGCATATAATTCAGGTACTGCTGCACTATAGTTTAAAAGAGATACTTATAAATGTTATTTTTATTCATGTTGTCTATTTAGTTTTATCCACATTTCATTTATCTTTATATAGCTTGCTTTTATTTATTATATTTCATTCCCTTCTTTTCCTTTACTATCTTAAATGCATTTGCAAAAAAAAATTGTAGGGTTTTCCACTAGAGAATAACCTAATTTTAATATGAAATTGTTTATTTTAAAATATTTAGTTTAATTTTGACCATGCATATTTCTGTTCTCTCATAGTTTATTGCTAAAATATTTATTTAAAAGATATATGATTCTAGATTTCATAGATTTAATTTTTAATATTATAAAAGGTCATGAATCAGTGACATGTCAAGTTTCTATAATATAAAATTCTAAGTAGGCTCAAATTTAATAAAATATATTTTAGATGTGCTGTGATTAGCCTAATTCATATTTTATTGTTTAACATTTATTGAGTGCTAAGAATATACTAGAAGCTACACAGAAACAAAGAAATCTCATTTTACCTAATTTGTTGTAATGAAACCCATAACGAGATCTTAAACTTTTGATTGACTTTTATTTTACTTAAATCAAGTGCTTTTTATCTTAAAGCTATTACTATTAGGTTTGCTTTCACAAAAATGTATGAAGATGTATACATTTTCTTCAAGCTCTATCTGTTTTTAATACACTTAATATATCTTTTGTTTAAAATTAAAAATTAGTGCCTTAGAGATGGCACATCTCTATACTGAAATATGAATAGATTTTAAGTGTACGTACTCAATTTCCATATTGAAATTAAATATGGACTTAAGGGAACATTCCTTTTGCCCATAAAAAGATTGGTCACATGATCCCGGTTGACATTTAAGTGGATAATTATCACAGATTATAGTACTAAGTAAGCTCTTTTTTAAAAAGTCATATAGCAAGTGTTCCTGGGGTACTGGTAATATTCTATTTTTTAACTTAAATAGTGGTTACACTGATTCATTAAACTGTACATATATATATGTTTCATATACTCTTCGATATATATATATATATATATATATATATATATATATATATATCAAAAGTCTCAACATAGAATTCTCTAGGATCTTATATCACATTATGTCATTTGTAATCATTACATTGCTTATCCTAATATGTTATACATGTTTTAGAAATAAGAAATCCCGAGTCATAAAGTAAAAGTTCCATTTAAGTTCCATGAGATCATAATTTAAGTTATGATCTCATAACTTCTATTAACAATTCTCAGTTTTTAAATATTATACAAAACATAAGATGCCACTTAAATAAGTACTTTTATTTAAATAGCATTTTCAGGGACGCCTGGGTGTCTCAGTTGGTTGAGCAGCTGCCTTCGGCTCAGGTCATGATCCCAGCGTCCTGGGATCGAGTCCCACATCGGGCTCCTTGCTCGGCAGGGAGCCTGCTTCTCCCTCTGCCTCTGCCTGCCACTCTGTCTGCCTGTGCTCGCTCTCTATCCCTCTCTCTCTCTGACAAATAAATAAATAAAATCTTTAAAAAAATAAATAAATAAATAAATAAATAGCATTTTCAAGGGCATTTTAAGTGCAATTCACTTCCCATCACACTTGGGATATAATTCAAAACCTAATCATAACTTCTAAGGCCATTCATCATCAAATTCCTGACCACCTCGTCTATCTCCTTTTCTGTTACCCTTCCTATGTTTACACTACTTTAACCATTCTTACTTTCTTGCTATTCATCAATCATGTTAAACCCCTTCCTGCCACAAGGTCATTGCACTTACAGGTCTCTCAGCCTGTATTCCTTCTGGAATACTCTTCCTCTAGGTATTCATATGTATTTTCTATGTACATTTGAACTATATACTATGTGAACAGATGATTTATTATTACATTTAAATACATTTATACTTATAAAAAAAGGAAAATCTGTTCCTAATTCTTCCCTCTACTTAGACTTCTTTTGGCCCCATTTGGGTGAGTGAGTTTATACTTTTGAGAGATATGTATTTAATTTAAAAAGTGAGTTTATAAAAAAAGTGATTTATAAAAAAGTGAGTTTACACTTTTGAGAGATAAATATTTATTTACTTACCATCATATATATTTTTCATTGTTATGTATGTTCATATGTGTGTGTTATCATTATATTGCGGCCCTCCCCTGCCCCTTAGCAAATTTCTCCAAACTATTATGCTTTTCAATAAAGATGAAGGATGCATCAGACTTATTATTTAATAATTAGAGTAGAAGGATAAACAACAAATTTGCATAGTCAAAGAGAATATTTGTGAATTAGATAATAGATCTGTAGAAATCAGCCAGACTGTAGCAATGTGATAACACAGAGATAAAGAAATGGAGAACATGATATAATGGTAAAGAGAAATTATTAATAGACTAAGAAGCTCCAATATATGTCAGATAGGAGTTCCACGAGGAGAAAATAAGGAGAATGGGCTGAAGCAGTATTCTAAGATAAAAGGACTATCAATTTTTCATAATTTCAATTTCACAGTTAAGGAAAGATGAGAATTTCCAGATTGGAATAGCATACTTAGTCTGAGCAGGATGAATAAAAACAAATCCACACATAGTCATATGGTAAAATTGCGGATTGTCAAAGACAAAGAGAAAAAGGCCACCGGAGGAAAGACATATAACCCCCAAGGAAATGACAGACTGATTGTAGACTTCTCATCTATATCAACAGACTCCAGCAGGAAGTGGAATAATACCAACTAAAAATCACAGCTAAATATTTTTATTTAGGAATGAAGATGAAATAAAGATTTTTTTTCCAGACAAAGTCTGAGAGAATTTTTCGTTCAGAGAGACTCCCTGAAGGGACTACTAAAAAATGTACTTGTAGAATTAAACTGAGCCTCAGGTAAAGGAATGGAATGCAAAGAGCAATGGTAAGAAAATAAATTAGCAAACATGTTGACAAATTTAATTATAAATCCAAATACAAAAATGTGACTACAAATTCTGCTGGCTATAGAAAAAAAGACAAACAATTTAAGATGGGGTTAAAAACAAATAATAGACTATAATAGCATGGAATACTGATGAGGGAGCAAAATAAGCTAAAGTGTTTTAAGATTCTTATAATTTGGGGGGAGCAGAAGAATATCTGTTAACTGACTTTATAGTTGTGCATGCGTGTGTGTGTATGTGTGTTTTATTTACTTGCCTGTAAAAATGGGGAAAATAATAGTTTCTACCTCAGGATTGTTGTGAGAATTAAATAAAGTAATATACAAAAAGCACTCAGAACATGGCCTGGCATGTAGTTAAGTTTTCAATACATACTCTGTTTTTATTAATATCATTATTGTTTAGGCTTAAAGATGTAGGATGATTAAATGTAAAGGGATAGAAAAAAACAAAGCAAATATTAACTTTAAAAAATTAATAGCTGTTATAAGAATATTAATGTAGACAAAAATAGACTTGAAGACAAAAAAGCTTTATTGAAGATATATGAATCTATTCATAGTGAGAGAAAAGAAGAGTCACTACTAAAAATGTTTCCTGAAACTATGTGCATCTAAAACAAAAACAACACATAATGAAATAGGACAGGAGTACAAGGAGAGACTCACAAATCCCTAATTATAGTAAATTTTAAAGTACCTCCTTCAGAAACTGATGAAATAAATAAAACTTAGGAAGGATATAAACAGTTTGAACATAGCTAGCAAGTGTGATCTAATGAGCTGTGGTCAAACAAGTGTAATACCCAACACATGATAAAGCATGACCTAAAACTTTTACAAAAATATAACCAGTCTGGAGTCGCAAAATTCTAAAATTGCTGTCACATTCTCTGACCAAAATTTTGTGTAGTTAGGAATCAATAATAAAAAGGCAGTCCTCTATAAAAATTTTAGCCCATGTGTTTGGAAACCTAGAACATTCTAAATAATTCATTGTTCAGAAAAATCATAATGGAATATATAAAATATTTAGAATTGAATGATGATGACAATAAAAACTTAGAGGAAAACTTTAATCTAAATACTGCATTATACTAAAACAGTCCTTAGTGGAAATTTTATACTTATAAATGCATATATTTAGGAAGGAAGAATGATTGAAACTAATAAGCCAAGCATTTAACTCAGAAGGATGGAAAAAGAATAGAATGAACCCCAAGAAATACAAGAAAGGAAATTGTAAAAGATAAAAAGTATTAAATACAAATAAAGTGTTAAATAGAAAACAAGGCAGTGATAAAGAAAAGCAACAAAATCAAAAGCAGTTTCTTTGAAAAGACTAATCAAATGGTAGACCTCTGGCAAGACTGATTTCTTTTTAAGTGGGAAAAGGAACAATATGTATTTCAAAGGAGCTGATAAATTACTATCAGCTTAAATATCTGATGAGCAGTTTGAGATATATGAGCCAAATGCTTCTTAATGTGGTCCACAATCTAATTTGGATGAAAGATTTTAAAACTTACCATTCTGCTTCTCAAACATTAATGTTTTAATAGCTAAAAAGCAATTCTAATTTTCTCATTGATACCTTTCTGTTCAATAATATAGGTAATATTTTAAGAATATTACATTTCTTCCATGGGACTCAATAAAGGTATTTTGAATTTTAAAAAAGGAACCATTAACATTGTTATTGTTCATAAATTGATCCTCTAAAGCAGTTATTTGCTCTCCACTCTTGTTTAATAGTAATAATTTGGTTAATTAAAAGAATAACATGATTTCGGGGTGCCTGAGTGGCTCAGTAGGTTGGGTGTTGGACTCGGATCCTAACTCTGCCACTTACTAGTTTTAGAGCCTTGGATAAGATATGTGGCTATTCTGTGCCTCGGTTTCCTCACCTGTAAAATGGGAATGAGTGACCAATGCAGAGTTTTGCAGATTAGTTTATATATGTAACATTTAAAACAGTGCCTGGTCCTAAAAATACTATTTAAGTGTTAGCTGTTACCATTAACATCATTGATTGTATTTCTAAACATCATGATCTGTTGAAAATTATCTTAGAGAAGGGGCTCCCTGAGCCTTACCGGAAAGTCCAAATACAATTTTGATTTGTTTGTTAAAGGATAGGTTTTGGTTTTTTTTTTTAAGATTTTATTTATTTGACAGACAGAGATCACAAGTAGGTAGACAGGCAGGCAGAGCAGGGGTGGGGTGGGGTGGGGGTGGGCAGGAAACAGGCTCCCTGATGAGCAGAGAGCCTGATGCAGGGCTCCATGCAGGGACCCTGAGACCATGACCTGAGCCAAAGGCAGAGGCTTACAGAGAGAGCCACCCAGGTGCCCCCAAATACAATTTTGAATGTAGCCCAGATTCAGCGATGGTACATATTTCACCAGTGTTTTATGAAACTGTCTTTAAAGGAAATCACATTCACAAGTATTTGTTATATATAACCTAGCAAGAAAAAGTATGTATAGAATCTGCAGCTGTTTACTGTATGTTAATTGCTAATAGAATGAAATGAAATAAAGAAAGCAATTATTAGGAACTGGAATACTCTTTCTTTTTTCTTCTTTTTTTAGGGGGGTGGAGGGGCAGAGGGAGAAGAAGTGAGAGAATCCCAAGTCACAGAGCCCAGTGCAGGGCTGGATCTCACAACCCTGAATTCATGACCTGAACCAAAATCAAGAGTCAGATGCTATAACCGACTGGGCCACCAAGGAACCCCAGTAACTGGAATACTCTTAATAATATATTGGAGTCCGAATAGTCTCTGCTAACTGATCCAAGTGTTATTCTTAGAGATATTAAAACTCCTCCTATTTAGCAATTGGAAAAGTATATTAGAAATGTAAGTCCTTCTATAAGAAGATTGAGATTAATGCTATTGATTATATTTTATAGAATAAGATATCTAATCCCCTTACCATAATAAAAATGTTTCAGCAGGCATTGAACACTTGGTGAAAATTCAAATAAAGTATTCTTTTACTATTTCTCACCTAACTTTATTGACTGATGGTGCTAAAATGTGAAAATTAATTACAAGTTAAAGGAACAAAGTAATTTTAATATTTAATTGTGGACCTTTATTGAATGCAGACAGCATAGCACAAAATTCAGGAAATTAATATTAACCTTTAGGCAAAGATTTTCTGAAAATAAGGTTTAATATGTATCATGGGATTTCATATCCAGCTTGATTTTTTTTTTTAAGAAAGATGGATTTTAACAGATTTTTTTTCCTCAAGAGTTCTCTAAAGTCATAAATAAAATATTGTTACTGTTTTTCCCTTTAATGCTTGGTTAAATAAACTCTTACTACTTAAGGATAGAGACAAGTCAAATAATGAAAAGTTAAAACGAGAGAGATGGGGCGCCTGGGTGGCTCAGTGGGTTAAAGCCTCTGCCTTCGGCTCGGGTCATGGTCCCAGGGTCCTGGGATCGAGCCCCGCATCGGGCTCTCTGCTCCGCGGGGAGCCTGCTTCCTCCTCTCTCTCTGCCTGCCTCTCTGCCTGCTTGTGATCTCTGTCTGTCAAATAAATAAAATAAAAAATCTTTAAAAAAAAAAATAAATAAATAAAATGAGAGAGATAACCAGTACTTTAGGAAGATCTCTAAATCATAACTTTCTCTCTTTTTAGAATTAAAGACTATTTTGAGTTAATTTAGTTATGATACAGTTTTGGGGTTTTTTTTGTTTTTTTTTTTTGAGAGAATCCATAAGATCTAAAGTAACAATGAGGGAAGTTATTGTTCATCAGTTTCTGAACCAACTTACTCTGTGAAATTATAAATATCAGAGAATAGAAAATATACATTAAATAAGCTCTTCCCCTAGTAATAGGAGCAAGTAAGAATAATGAAATAAAAATTGAGTGAAGGAAAAGGGTGCCTGGGTGGCTCAGTGGGTTAAGCCTCTGCCTTCGGCTCAGGTCATGGTCTCAGGGTCCTGGGATCGAGGCCTGCATCAGGCTTTCTGCTCAGCAGGGAGCCTGCTTCCCAGTCTCTCTCTGTCTGCCTCTCTGCCTACTTGTGATTTCTCTCTCTGTCAAATAAATAAATAATAAATAAATAAATAATATTATAATATAAATATATTAATAAAAGAAATTATAATATAATAAATAATAAAATAAAAAATTCTTTAAAAAAAAAGAAGCAAACAACAAAACAGCTTCTGTTAAAAAAAAAAAAAAAATTAAGTGAAGGAAAAAGTGTAAACCAGCATTGGGAAGTCTGTTCCAGACAGTACATTAATATGTTAATGAATTACGTTTGAAAATTTAAAGAAATTGCCTTCGTGTTATTTCATCTAGAAGTATTGGACCCTCCTGCAGTAGTACATGGAGCTATACTTTCCAATTCATGTAGACACAAAGCATTTGGATTGTGGCTCATCTGCACTGAGATGTGCTATAAGCATAAAATATACACCATGTATCAAAGACAGTGTGAAAAAGAGAATATGAATGATCTCACTAATAATTTTATATTTTATATATAAAATATATAAAAATAAAGAAATGTCAAAATTGTAGTATTTTGAGGTTGTTGGGTTAAATGAAATAATAAAATTTATTTCACCCGTTTTTCCTTTGTGAAGAATAAGGACATTGAGTTAAGTAATAGTTCCTGTGCCAGTTATTGAACAAATGGAACAACATAATAATACATAGTGTAAGGAGGTTGTCACCAACTATACATTTAAAAAATGATTTCTTTGGACTCCTTTTCATTAGTAGTAAAAAGTTTCGATTATTCATTCATTTGCTTGCTTATTCACTCAATAAACATTTATTAAAGGCCAGTGTATGTAAGATATTAAGAATTTTTTTGCTAATATGTCCTCAAATACTTGTTATACATCAAATATGTTTGAAGTGTATGTTATACTGTACCATGAAGTACAGTAGAACCAACAACTAAATGGAGAACTCATAAAACAATTATCTACTTGACCACTAATAAGTGCAAACATCATGTTCTACTAGGCTGTAAAATCAAATTTACCTTTCAACCCCACACACAGGATCTTTCCAAGAATTTAGTAAATCATTGTGCATTTTTTCAATATGTTTTTAAAATCAGGCACATTTATCAAATTTATTTTACTGTGACATCACTAGAAACTTACTGTTTTGTAGATATAAATATCACCAACCGGGGCGCCTGGGTGGCTCAGTGGGTTAAGCCTCTGCCTTTGACTCAGGTCATGATCCCAGGGTCCTGGGATCAAGCGGTGCATTGGGCTCTCTGCTTAGCAGGGAGCCTGCTTCTCCCTCTCTCTCTGCCTGCCTCTCTGCCTACTTGTGATCTCTCTGTCAAATAAACAAATAAAATCTTTAAAAAACAAAAATCACCAACCCACTGTTAACTTTGAGGCAAAAAATAGGAGTGAAATAATACAAACTGGAAACTTTAAGATGATATTGTTTATTAAAATATTTAACGAAAGTATCCTTTATCTATAAAGATTGGTTTTTTTCTACATAAAGTCATCATGAATAAAATATTGGGATATTGGGAAATTTTAAAAAATAGCTATTGAAAAATTATTCATAATAGTGATTTTTCTTTTCTATAGCAAATTCTAGGATACTTTTTCTTTACTTCTCTTTCATTAGTCTACCTTTTTATTCTCTATCTAAAGTTTGGTGATCTAAATTCTATTTAAAATTTGACAATTTCCCCCTTAACTTTAAGTTCTTCTTTTTACTCTATGTATATAGGAAAGAGGAAAAAATTGAGTCACCTCAGTTTAACCAAAAGGAAGGAATCTACAACAAAGGACAATGATGAGTAAGTTTATTGTTTTTGAAATAATAAATACATGTCTTGAAAGAAAAGAGTCATATTTCTTAAAGTAATAATTTAAGAGAAATAACTTATTTGCAAAAATTAAAAAATAGTTTATACCTGAGTCGATATATTCTTTTTTAAAGAAGTAAAATATTTTGTGATGCATTTTGAAGGGTTCATGTGATCATGATATGTGATATCTTAACTTTTTAAAAATATTTCTTCATTTGAGAGAAAGAGAGAGTGCAAGTGGGGTGAGTGGAGTGGGAGAGGGAAAGAGAGAATCTCAAGCAAACTCCCCACTGAGTGCAGAGCCCATGCAGGGCTCAATTTCAGGACCGTGAAATCATGACCTAAGAGAAGACCAAGAGTTGGACACTCAACTGACTGAGCCACTCAGGGGCCCCTATGAGATCTTAATTTTAATACTCATTGAGCACAGCTTGCCAGTCCATGAATAAGAGACCAGCTTAAGATAAATCTGGGGAAAAACGACCTTTTCAGATTTTATATGGATGGAAAAGTAATCCCTCATCTGGGAACATAATGCCTAACAAATAGCTGGTTCAAGAGCTAGGAACACAGTGAATGAAGCCAGCACAGTAAGCGATCCAGAGGAACCCAGCATGCTTATATCCCAGCACCCAGCTATTTTCATACTGGCCAGCCAATGCTGCCTTGAATGAAGATAGTATTTACAAAAATCTACTTCTCCTATATATTCTAGGAAGAATAGTTATATCTATCCACCGAGGCTAGAAAATTGAATTAACCAGAAGAGGGGGTTAAATTTTCAAAGTAGTTCTTATGTTCAGCTCATTGACCCTTTCAGCTATGTTGTCTTTGTGCCACGCAATATGATGGGTGGCTAAAAACAAAGAAATTGGGAGCTTATGGCTTTATGTTGTAAGTTAATATACCTTGCCAAACTTAGAAATAGGTTATAAGTTATTTTTCAAAATTTTTTTACTCATTTAAGTGGAATTCAGAATGCATTTTCCATATAAATAGTGTTGTAACTAGTGGTTATGACCCCAGAGGTCTATTTTTTTTCATAATGTAGCTGAACTATAGTATTAATCAGTACTAGTCTAGAGTAAAATATACAAAAATTGAATGCCATTTAGAGTACGACAAGGACAAAGAGAAGTGTTTCACAAAGAAATTTCTTTGTTTGGCATCTCCTACATCTATCATCATATCTCCTTTATTTTCTTTTACTAGATGCTTTTCCTAGCTACGCTCCCCCAGCTCCAAATATTTTCATTTTCCCTGTCCCACAAGTATTTTTGTTGTAAATTACTACTCCTTCCTTCCCCTAGCAAAGTTCCCATTTCCTCAGTGAAACCAGTTGCAATCAGATATTAAGAGGAAAGCGTTCTTTGGGTTCCCAGGTAGCTCAGTTGGTTAAACATCCAACTCCTGGTTTCAGCTTAGCTCATGATCTTGGGGTCATGAGACTGAGTCTTGCATTGAGCTGCGTTCAGCATGGAGGCTCCTTCAGATTTGCTTCTCCTCCCACTGATGCTCTCCCTAAAAAAAAAATAAAAAATCTTTCCCAAAAAAGGGAAAGAATTTTCTTTTTGTTTAACTTATTTAATGTATTTTTTAATTGGCAATGTATACACACAGAAAAAGAAATTTTACAAAAGAATATACAGTGAGAGCAAGTGGCAAGTAACAATTTTTGAAACGTATGATTTTATATTTGAAAGCAGATACCTGGGTGTTATGTAAACTGATGAATCACTGAACTCTGTCTCTGAAACTAAGATAAATCTGGGGAAACTAAGATAAATAATATACTATATGTTAATTAATTGAATTTAAGTTTTAAAAATTAAACAAAATGAAAGCAGATACCTGCTAAACCAAATGAATTTCTGATATAATTATATGAAGTATAACAAACTTGGGAATAAAAGTAGGCAGTGAAGGAGGAAAATTTTTTGGACAACAGAATACCACATAAACAAGCAAAACTTACCCTTGCTTTCCGCCCAATCAGCTCCCCTTACGCTATTCTAACTTTTTATACTTTTATCCCTTCCTTATTCTTCTGAACCCATCGATTTGTTGACGGTGCCAGATTTTTAACCATAGCTCTTGTAGCAGTGAGCTTTCAAGTAGCAAGGGAACAAGAACCCTTGTTATGGTTCACTTAGGAATTTGCCTGTATTTATTTAATTTCTCTTAATATTTATTTCTGAAGATCCCTATTACTTATGTGTATCATTCCATGACTCGATATTAGAATTAGTGAACTTAAGGACAAGCCAGGATATTTTATAAAAGATAAAAATAGGCTTGCTGATTTTTTTTTTTGCACTCATTATATAATGAGTCAATCCCAGTCAATAAAGCCATTTTACTAGCTTTAATAATGGGTTCTTCATTTGTTCCATTTGTTTGGATTTCTTTTATTATCTTGTAAACCCATTCTAAAGCCTTGGTTTTTGAAAACCTGAAATTAAATCGAACATTTCACATCTATACATCAGTTTTAAATGATATAACATTTTATTTTTTTATTTATTTTTAGATTTTATTTATTTATGATAGAGTGAGAGAGGGAACACAAGCACAGGGGAGCTAGAGAGGGAGAAGCAGGCTTCCTGCCAAGCAGGGAGCCCAATATGGGGCTTGATCCCAGGACTCTGGGAACATGACCTGAGCCAAAGGCAGACACCTAAGAACTGAGCCACCCAGGCACCCCAATATAGCATTTTATATTTTGTTTTGGAAATTGTGTAAGTTAGGGTTGTCCAGAGAAACAGAACCAAGTGCAGAGACATATATATGTAATAACATAATAATAATATAGTATTAATAAAATATAACAGTTAATGATAATAAAATGGCATTGATGTAATGGTTATTAATAATTAAAATGTATTGGGGTGCCTTGGTGGCTCAGTTGGTTAAGCATTCAACTCTTGATTTCAGCTCAGGTTATATTCTCACAGTTGTGGGATCAAGCCCATTGGGCTCTGTGCTCAGCAGGGAGTCTGCTGGAGATTCTCTCTCTCCCTCTACCTTTGCCCTTCCCCCCACTTGCACGCACACACATGTTCTCTCTCTCTAAAATAAGTAATCTTTTTTTTTAATTTTTATTTTTTATAAACATATATTTTTATCCCCAGGGGTACAGGTCTGTGAATCGCCAGGTTTACACACTTCACAGCACTCACCTTAGCACATACCCTCCCCAATGTCCATAACCCCACAAAATAAGTAATCTTTAAAAAAATGATTTAAAAATACTGATGATGAGTTTATATATATATATATATATATATATATTTGCATATATAGAGATAGATTGATTGTGAAGAATTGGCTCATGCAATTAGAGAGGCTAAGTCCTACCATCTACCATCCACAAGCTTGAGACCCAAGAAAGCCAGTGGTGTAATTCAAGTTCAAGTCCAGAGGCCTGACAACCAGGGAATCTGATGGTGTAAATCCTAGTTTAAGAGCAGAAGAGCAATGTCCCAATTCAAACAGGCAAGTAGGGTGAGTTGCCTGGGTGGCTCAGTGCCTTTAGGGTCCAACTCTTCATTTCAGTTCAGGTCACGTTCTCAGGGTCATGAGATAGAGCCTCATGCTGGCCATGGAGCCTGCTTGAGATTCACTCTTTCCCTCTCCCCCTCCCCTGCCCCTCCATGCTTGCTCTCTTGCTCTCTCTCTAAAAAATAAAAGAAATTTTAAAAATAAAACAATTTAAAAAAATAAACAGGCTGGGAACCAATCCTCCCTTCCTCTGCTTTTTGTTCTATTGAGCCCTTCAAAGAATTAAATGATGCGCACCTACTATGGGAACCCTACAAAGTCAAATAGTACGGAAGTGGTTATACAGTGGTGATTTTCTAACTCCATCATTCCTTCTATTAGTCGGCCTTTTAAAAATTCATGGGTTTATAGTGATAAAGGGTTTTTCTTAGCTTTCCCCTTTCCACGTTTGCAGCCTTTCTCAGAGACAGTAGATCTTTGGCTCCTAATAGCAGCAATATATTTTCATATTTGCTTAATCTTACACGAACACAAAATAGTTTCAGAATTCCTGCACTCATAGTGCTATTAAAAACCAGCTTGCAAAGCATTCAAGATTTGTTTGTAGTCTTCTTTGTATTTAATTTGATAGTATATAGACAAAATACTATGTTCAGAACTATGTGGATTAGTTCTCTTTTAATATTGTTTTCTGTTTTAATTCCAGTGTAGGTAACAGCGCTATATTAGTTTCAGGTATAAAATATAGTGGTTCAACAATTCAAAACATTACTCAGTAGTCAGCATGATAATTGTACACTTTAATCCTCATCACCCATTTCACCCATTCCCGCCCCCCCCACACACACAGCTCCCCTCTGGTAACCATCAGTTTGTTCTCTGTCATTAAGAATCTGTTTCTTAGGGACGCCTGGGTGGCTCAGTTGGTTAAGCAGCTGCCTTCGGCTCAGGTCATGATCCCAGCGTCCTGGGATCGAGTCCCACATCGGGCTCCTTGCTCGTCAGGGAGCCTGCTTCTCCCTCTGCCTCTGCCTGCCATTCTGTCTGTCTGTGCTCGCTCTCTCTCCCTCTCTCTCTCTGACAAATAAATAAATAAAATCTTTAAAAAAAAAAAAAAAAAAGAATCTGTTTCTTAGGGTGCCTGGGTGGCTCAGTGGGTTAAGCCTCTGATTTCAGCTCAGGTCATGATCTCAGGGTCCTGGGATCGAGTCCCACATCGAGCTCTCTGCTTGGCAGAGAGCCTGCTTCCTCCTCTCTCTCTCTCTCTGCCTGCCTCTCTGCCTACTTGTGATCTCTCTCTGTCAAATAAATAAATAAATTCGTTAAAAAAAAAAATCCCATGTTTCTTGGGGAATGCTTGGGTGGCTCAGTCAGTTAAGCAGTCTGCCTTTGGCTCAGGTCATGATCCCAGGGTCTTGGGATCGAGTTCCAAGTCAGGCTCCTTGCTTAGTGGGGAACCTGCTTCTCCCTCTGCGTGCCACTTCCCC